AGACCGTTCAAGTTTATTGATAAAAGTGTTGAATGACAAACCTTTAGCGAACGGGCCTCATCGGCGGTGTACTTGATCAGGACATCACCCTTATCGTCTTGGTAATCACGAAGCGATAGAAGTATGATCTGAAAAGCTTTGTTAGTATACAGAAACAAGATTAGAAGGATACAGTTGTGTCGCTTACATCGCCGTTGTTGATCCAGACCTTCTTGCGGAGTTTACCTCGGATGTGGGCGAGGCGCGTCTGTCCGTCAAAGCAAGAGCAGGATAATCGGCCACTGCCGAGCATCTTGACTACTTGGGCATATTCTTGACCTTCCTCTTTGAAGCTGTTTTTTTACGTTGTAATTAGTACCAAGCTTCGGCAAATGGGGAGTAAAGTAGATAGAAAATCCGTTGGTGGTGCGGGGAGTAAATACGTACACAAGTTCACGCTTCTCCTTGTCGCTCTCGTTCTTACCCCTTCTCCGATTCTTTCCTCCCTGTGTAGATGAAAATGATCAGTTTACGGTCGTTTCCAGTTGTTGAGACTGGATGATAAAAGATGTGGATCGATAAAAAATAGAAGTCCGGTGGCGAAGGTGAGGGGTGCATCGCGGTAAGATTTATTATGTGCTTACCTTTCCCTTATTCTTGGGCATATTGACAAGATTCTCGTTTTAGTATCACGATTATTTGTCTGGTAAATACTGTGGTTGGTTCGAGGAAGCGCGTAAAGTTTGTGTGTGTCTCGAAAGGACGTTGTGTTGTTGTTTCGGTGATGGTGGTGGGTTGGTTGAGCGTGGTGGATTAAAATGGTGGGATGTTTTGTGGTGACGAGGGGCTTTGTTATCAAGAAATCCTTGGACCGGGACACATCAGTGGACAGAAACCGGGGAGGGGGGTGTGGTTGCTGGGGTGTTTACGTAATAATGCGTAGGTATTCGGTACAGAAAATCCGTATATGCAGTCTCTATGCAGTCCTCGGTTTTAATTTCTTCGATAGGTATCTATGACATCGAGCCTACGACGACCCACATCTTTGGTTCGACAACCTTCGAAGGCGTTTACAGGTTGGAATAAGGCTGGGTGGGGCTTCTAGTCACGTTTTATTGGGCACCTCACCACTAAAAATGTGTCTGCCAATTCCAAACGCAAAGGTAGGACAGGGGCGCAGGATTTGCCGGGTTTCTCATTGGTTGCCAAAATAACACTCCCGTGGTATGTGCAACAGCAACAGCGGTCGAACTAAAATGGGATATCAACTTCTTTAGCAGACCCTGAATACCATCTTAATAAACTGTATTTAGTAGCCTCACCTCAACTTTCTATTCCTCTTTCCTTGAGCGCGTGATTTCTGTTCGTTTATGAATAGGATGGACCTATCTTGACTTCTGCCTCGGACGCAAAGAGGTAGCGCTCATCTATGCGAGAAGTCTATCCTTCTTAGGACGTCACTTTGCTCATAGTCATGTCCTCCTTCTTTTTCTCTCCGCTATGCTCTCGTGCGTCGGGAATAAGAAGAGCCTTCTCCCGCCTGGCATCTCTCCGGTTTCCAGATGCTTACACGAACAGTACACCTCCTGCCGGCAACCTCGACATTCTGGCCAAAAACGTCGACCTACTAGCTCCTCAGCTATGGGATGAAGTTACAGGCCCATTCAAAAACACTTGGGAGATAGAAATGACAGTAAAAAACGTGTACCATATCATGAACCCTGAAGGCAGATTGAAAATCGATAAGCACGTCTTCAAAGGACGGAAGAATCGTTACGGCATAATACTCCGTCAGTCACATGAGCATTGTTACACGAACCTTACAACGGCAAAACTCAAAGGGGTCGAGCACCCGCGTTTGCGACCGATCCTTGATAAAGCGGTCGCAAGAAATCAAGTTCCGTTGTGGATCCAAGTTGGCGCCGGCTATTTGAAAGTCCAGAAAACTTCGGCCCCTCGCATCACCGCTGCCAAACGACTGCGCAAAGCCTTGCTGAAGGCGCTAGACGACGCCGGATTCGATTCCGAGGGCCGCAGGAAAGTAGCTAACGGCGAGTCGAGCGCTATTGTCGACCTGTATGGGACCGTGAATATCCGGGTTCAAGACTCGATCGGATTTTCCCTGGCTGATCAGGCCGAGGTCGACGAAATCGCAGAACACGTCGTTCATCATATTATAATGAACTCTCGGAGATATCACCAAGGGCAACGCAGAGGAGACCCCCAGAAAGGAATGTGGCGACAAGACAGCTCGGCGGGCTCCCGCAGTCGACACTATCCCTCTGGCCCGAAGCGGGATAAGGCGCCTGGTAAAACCGGATTCAAGTCCAAGCGGAGGCAGTCACTCGAATAGACAGCGAAATTATCAAGGGGGGGCACTTGGCAAATCCGACGACGTAAATTTAATATCTACGAGTATGCTTCGATACACAGGTACCAAACCCGACCTGTCTGATGACACCCAGCTAGTTTACGTCTTGAAGAGACGTTCCAACCCGACAGCTAAGTCAGCCGTCCTGATATAGCCCAATGTCGCAAACCATGTCGCGCATGTACAAACTATAACAATTGTACTATACAAAATTTGTACTATATATATAGAAATACATAGGATACAAAACATGCTACAACACACGTAGGTATGAACCTAAACAAGGGGCACAGTTCGTCAGGTCCTTTGTGGAACTGTTAGCATCTAGACATTTAGGTCTGGGGAAAAAAGTATGAGCGCAGGCAGCTATCTATACTTGAATAATAGCCATAGCAAATAGCAAATAACAAATATACAACGGCAGATAAAGCCAACCTACCTACTCGTAGGTAATCGTGGGCAAGGTACTGGTAAGGTTGAACGCTTCAACGCGTCCTCGTACGCCATCATAAAAGCCAAGCCCCCCAGACTCTTGATCAATTTCAACTTTCAAGAAATAAAAAATTTGTAGAGGCTAATCCAAGGCAGAGCAAACTAAGCCGTATAAAGTAATATGTACATACAAAGCTACTGCATAACTGGGCACCTCTCTAGATTGGGTACTACTCTCTGCCCATCGCTCGAATTCCGATTACAAGGAGATAGACTCCAAACCGAACGACGTAACCTAGGTTAGGTAGTCTCCCTATTGTTTCTGTATTACAATAACAACTTTTGACATTCTCGTGGTCTACCAAAGAAACAGGGGACCTCGATTCTTGGTTTTTTACAGTGTTTAAACAGAAGCACATGTTCCCTGCGACAAACCTGAAGAGTTAATCGTCATGCTCGTGTCCCTCACTGTCGGCAAAGTCGATGCCGGCGTGACAGTGCTCCTCACTCCGGACAAACGCCTGGTAAGGAGGTGAAATTTCCAGTCCAACCTAACCCACTAGATGGCGTTTTACTGTCTTGACAACTGGTCATGCGCGGGTCGTCAAGATACCTTATACTGTGTGAATCTCTCTGGTACAAGGAGCTAATCACAGAGCTTCCTCAAGATCGAGTTCCCTTCCATCCTCCTCCCTCCTAATATCGTATCCGGATCGATTGTAGACATCACCGTCGCGCGCAACCACGCATCCGAAGCCGAATCCGACAAGCGCTTCGCCGCCCTACAAGACCAGATCTTCTCCGCCTTTGGCGCCTCCGAACCGAGCACGCCCGTCCTCCGCTGCCGCAATGCGACGCAGACATCCGTCGTTCTCGAATGGGACCCCGTCGAGCTAGCCACGGCCGATCTAATCTCCCTCTCGCTATATCGCAATGGCCAAAAGGCCGGGAACATCCCCCGACCGCTGAAGAATCGCAGCACGAAGATTAGCGGGTTGGCCGTCGACACCGAATACACCTTCCACCTCGTGCTGCGGACCACGGCGGGCACGATGAGCAGCAAGCAGGTCGTGGTGCGCACGCACAAGATGACGGACCTGAGCGGTATTACCATCACGACTGGAATCCTCCCTGCTCAGACGCGCGACAAGCTATCTGCTGCGGTAGAGCGCATCGGTGCCAAATTCACCGATAGCGTGTGTTTCGATACCACGCACTTCGTCACCACAGAAGGCCGTGGAGTCGCGTGGGAAAAGGCGGTAGAGATGAACATTCCGGTCGTGCGACCAGAATGGGTATTAGCTTGCGAGGAGAACGGTCGTATTCTGGGCGTCACCAAATTCTATCTAGATGCCCTTCGTCCCGGACCTCCGAGCGAGAGCCCGTCCACTCCATCACAGACACAAACCCAAACCCAAACCCAAACACAGAAAGAACTCCCCGCAGCACCACCCTCTGCTAGCAAATCCTCCAAAGATGACGGGAGCAGTGACGAAGAAGAAGAAGAAGAAGAAGAAGAGGACGACAGCAAAAAAGGAGCAGCAGCAGCGAGTAACGAATCAGACAAAGTGAAGACGAATAATTCAGCCGACGAACAAAAGATGAGACTCGAAGAGAAGGAAGAGCAAAAGGTCGCTATACGAAGTGGGAACAACACCAACGATGATGATAATAATAAGAAGAAGCAAACGTTAGAAGGGTACGAGAGTCCCGACGAAGATGAAAAGGCTCCTACGCCATCGGGCGATGGCGCTTCCTTTCAAGACGTTGCTCTGTAGCGGAAACAAACAAGATCTTATGTGTGTTTTTCAATTTTTCATCTACAAGCTAGCAAGGTGTTTTGATAGAAAGAAGATGTGTCTTGTCTGTCTGTCTGTCTGTTTTAGAAAGAAAAGAAAGACTTGCTTAAACCTAGTTTTGCTAGATCATGGGCAGGTGAAACTATATAGTATAGTATAATCAATGCAAAAACGTAATGTATATGCGCCGTCTACCCGTTTGTCCCTCCCTCGATCCATGAATACTATACTATACACATTATTCATACCTAGCCCCAGCTTCCGTCTGGTAATACAGACTAACGTTTGAAAAAGGGACAAAAGGGGTTGGACAAGTCTATATCTGTATATCAAATCTTGACAACAATGAAACTCCGTTCCTATTTCTCTCCTTTTTATATCCTTAAAAATGACCCTGGTCAAAAAAAAAAGGAGCACGCTCTCTCATAGTGTAGTGGTTTAGCACGTAGGATTTTGATACACAGTTTGTCAACATTCCTGAGTCCCCGGTTCGATCCCGGGTGAGAGATTTTCTTTTTCTTTTTCTTTTCTTTGTCTGGCCCGTTTGATGTTTCTGCGACCAGAAGCATAGACAGATGCAGAGAAGCGAAAGTAAAGTAAAGTGACAGTAAAATGACAGGATGTAGATTTAAAGTTTTAAACTATACTATATACATGACTCTTTTCGGGGGGGTGTAATGACTCGAGGGAGGGGATGGGATACGAGGAGGGAAGGAAGGGAGGGAAGGAAGGGAGGGAAGGAGGGAGTTACCTACCTTAGGTTTAGGTGTTCTTTCAACTTATTTGATATGTTTGCGTGGTGACTTCTTTTTCGACAGGTGGGAGAGAGGAAAGAGGAAGTAAGGGGAGAGAAGGGGAAGGAGGGATGACATTAACGAAGGGTTGTATTTTTAGTTTTGTGAAATTGGTGGTTTTGTTTCATCTGTCACCGTCTACTCTTTCTTTCCGGCCATTCGAGTCTCGGTGGTCCTTCTTGTTTCTATCTAGAACCTAGGTAGGATAGATTCGAAAGTTGGCTCTCGGGTATTATATATACGTACAAGTGAGTGAGTGAGTGAATCTCTGCCAACCTCGGATTGTGTTATAACAGTTTTATAGATGTAATTAGCACTTTAATCAACGTCCTTGATACAGATAGAAGAGAGTCGAAGCGGGCCAGTTCCCGTATAATCCCCCAAGCGCTCAACGACCTTTGATATCCTATCCTATAATACTTTATGACGTTATTATATAATACGAACCAGAGCTAAGTTTGAATCATGAGATCTTTCCGGGGAGGGGCAAACTTTATCTAGACATGAATTTGTACCCATCTCTTCCAATAAACAAACCCATCCAAGCCGAACCTACCTCTTTTGACATAGAAACAGGAATACTCACGATAACTCACTTTCGGTGAGGACAAGTATTCCAAGTTCTCCCATATCAAAATGGTAGACGACCACGAAAGCGTCTGGTGGATAAACCACCACGACCACCACGACGGACAATCCCAAGCCCATCCCATAATCAGACAAGAACCAGAGAGAAGCACATCATCAGAATATTCAGATATGCCACACCAAGAAAACCAAGAAGAAGACGAGAAATCCATGGTAGACCTGGTATCATTCCTCAAGAAAACACCACCTCCCCCAACAAACTACATGTCCGTGCCGGATTCATCATCTTCCTCATCATATTCCTCTACCACTTCATCATCTTCAAGTAGTAGGAAAAGATGGAAAAAGTTCAAACTAAAACTCCTTCACCGCTCACATTCAGGAAGGGGGAGAAGAAGACAACACCACCCACCAATAATCAAACTTCCCGATTCAGCCGTAGCAGCAACAACTACAGATGGACATAGATATATCGCCATATCCATTCCTGATGAATACACAAGACCAATAACAAGACCAACACCACATGCCACACGGAAAAGGGGGGAGGGGTCGGGAGATTCGCATCATATGAACCGCATAAGTGAGGAAAGACAGCCACAACAACATCAACATGTAAGAGTCCTCGACATTCATCCGAAGAGAAGAAGGAGAGCGCATACCTACCATACAACAACCACAACGCCGATTAGTGAACAAAGATATGAACCCAAGAGATCAAAAACATCTGCTTCGGAACCAGGTCATCGACGAGTACGCAGCAAAACCCACAGCAGTCACAGTCACGATCCAAGAACAAGTATAGAGAAATTCGATCCAAGAACAAGAGCCAGCTTGGAGAGATATTCAATCGGAGAAATCTTATCAAAGCAAATATCCAACGCAAAAAAGGAACAACTAGAACCAGAACCACCACCACCACCACCCACCATCAACAACGACGCAAAGCTCGAAGTGATAAATAACACAAAAACCCCACCCCCGATCCCCAGTCGAAAATCCTCAAAAAAACATACCAAGCAACAACAACAACATCCAACAATAACAATAACGAAACCCCCTCCCCAGCAGCAACAAGTAAGCGACAGTAGCGAAACCGAAAGAAGAAGGAGTAGTATATATTACCCACCTATCCGAGGATCCGTAGCCGAGAGTGTAGCCACGACGGCTTATTCACCGCAGATAATGGAGGCAGAGACTGCCATTGTTGTGAAACCCGAGTCGGAGTCGTCTTTGGAATTGGATCAAGGGACGAGTAATAGTAGTAGCTATAGTAATGGGACAGAGAAATTGAGAGTCGAAAAGGAAGGAGAAGAGGGTGAAGAAGCATCATCATCATCTTATCCCTTTTCCCAAGAAACGAAAAAAGAAAAAGGAAAAGGAAAAGAGACATCTCCTTTTCCTCCTTTTCTAGACTCTTTACCTTCAACTCATCTCCATCCCCTGCACCACCATCACCATCACCAACATCATCCCCATCATCACCAGGAATCACCCCCATCCACATCTACATCTTCCTCCTCATCGTCATGTCTCTCCCCCTTTCCACCCCCAGCCCAAATCCCTTCCTTTTCCCTCCCCCTCTCCCCATCCCCCAAAACGGACTCATACCCATCCTCCCCCCACTCTAACCTCAACCTCAACCTCAACACCAACACCAACACCGACAAAATCCTAACCCACCTCTTCCAAGAACGCACCCACGAACTCCGACGTCTCCGTCGATTAGAACAAACCATACCAGTCCTAGTCGAAAACATGAATATCCTCTTACAAGAACATAGTCGATTATTGAACGAATCATCACCGAGGAGGATGAGGAGGAGGATGAGACGACAACAACAACAACAGCAGCGTCCCCCCGTAGTAAGAAGGGAAAGTGAAAGTGAAAGTTCGGGGAATGGGACTGTTAGAGGGGGAGGGGAAGGGGAAGGGGAGTAATTAACCGTATTATTTAATATCATATCAGCATATCCCTAGGAAATATAATAATAATTACAGTTTGTTATAAGCGTGGATAAGACCCAATGAGTTTGCCGTGAAAAGAAAAGGAACGAACAACAACAAAATCTTCCCGTCGGATTTATCTCTTTATCTATGTGTGTCCACGAAACTATAGACACAGATGGAAAGGAATAGACGGATACCCTTTCGTCCATAACAAAGTTACCCATCTCCCCCCATATTAGCACGATATCACTCAAATGCCCCCAAGCTCGAATTAAAGTAACGGTTATATACGTATGGTAAGTAAGTACCTAGCAACGACGGGACTAGACTACCTCCCTACCTAACCTAACCTAACCTAACCTATGTGTCCCTGCCCATCTCTGTGTGCATGCAGCCCGAATCTGTCTGTCTGTCTGTCTGTCTGTCTGTCTTGTCTCTACCTTTCCCTTATACGAGTAGACAAACAACAAACTGTTTCCCCGCCCGAATAACGCCAGTTATAAAATGTCCCACATAAGAGAGTAAGAACCGAACCGAACCGAGCCGACCGACCGACTGACCAAACCTAGACCGATTATGCAACAACAACAACAACAACAACAACAATAACAAGCCGCTCTTTTTTTCTCTTTCTTAATGCCCTAGACCTAGAACGCCGAAGAAAGAAAAAAAAATGTATTTGTTTCTTTTTTTCCTTCCCCAGCCCATGCTTTATGCTTATCGGATTTATGTAAGGTATCTGCAAAAGAAAGAAAAAAAAAACAACGCAAAGTTTTTTCTGTTTATGCTTTATGCACATTTTATCGAGGTTTGTTTGGTTTACGCTTGATAAAAGGGTCGGAAGAATTCTTCTTCTTCGCTGGCATTGGCATAGGTGGTCTAGGAGCGGGACGTGACTTGATATTCTTTGTCAGCTTTACTTGTCAAATATTGAAATGAGATGAGTATACAAGGGTGACAAACCTTGGGTGCGTTGGATGGGCCAGACGGAGGTGCCCTGCCCGAGCCAGACGAAGTAGAGGAAGTAGGCGGTATTCCTAAAACAGCCATGGCCGTAGGATCTTGTGGTCTCGGCTTCATTCGAGGACCAGTAGGTGGAAGTCTGCCACTTGGTCCCGACGGTCCAAAAGGAGTATTCTCTTTCGCCAACTATAAATGCCTGTGTCAGTCATAATATCTAGTCTAGTTATGTAGAGTCAGTTGGAAGTGACCTACCTTCTTGGCGGGTTTGCCCGGGTCCAAGTCGTCCCTGTGGCGTTTGAGCCCAGATTCGTGAATGACAGGACGATCGGATGAAGGCGGTCGTACCATGGCTGGCTCGCCACGTTCGTTGAGACCGCCGAAACCCGGGTTGGGGCTACCCATAGGACGATTCCGCTCAATAAGCGTGTACGTTTCGGGTAGCTGGGGCGTTTTATGCTTTTTAGATGTCGCTGGTCTGAAAGGGGGTGTGTCTTCCATAATGACATCTTCTACTTGACCTGTGCTTGTGGGCCGAGACCATGTCTGCTCAACCGGTGGTGGCGAGGACCGTGGCAGTTGCGCCGGGACATTGGGAGGCGGGCGAGATAGCTTGACGCCTGGCTTTCTGAGCATGCCGAGAACGTCTCCGGTAGTGTAACGATCGCGGGCCTTGGCGTCTACGATCAGCTTGTTCCAGAACTCGCCCTGGCAAAGTGCTCGCGAGTCGCCCAGGATCCAGAGGGACGACTTTGCACGAGTGAGACCGACGTTCATACGTCGAATATCCGTCATGAAACCAATACCGCCCGTGGAACTAGCACGGACGCAAGAGAATATAATGACTTCGCACTCTCGACCCTGGAAGGCATCCGTCGTGTTAAACTCGATAAACTCGGTGATCTTATCTCCGTACCGGCGGGAAAACTGGTCGCGGAGCTCGAATAGCTGTGCCTTGTATGGGGTGATGATACCGATCTTGCCCTTGAGATCAACCTTGGGATAGTCGAGCGAGAATCTTTCGTAAAGCTGCATTGCAACTTTGAGTTCTTCCAAGTTGACGAGTGACTGGCCTCGTCGCCCCTTTTCTTGTATACCCTTGACGTCGAAGAAGCGATAAGGACCGAGCAGCTCGCTCTGGTGCCACGGCTGATGGCGGAGACTGGCCATATCACCACCGTTGAGGAGTCGGCGCTCGTAGAATTCCTGGCTGGGGA